CCTCTGCAAGGCTTAGTTGCCCAGCATTCCAAATTCTACCGAGAAGCCAGCCACACCTAAATGACTAAGGTGTTAACCGCTAAATAATCTTTATTTAGATTTAGAGCCCAGAACATCTGGTGATGTTTAAATAATATCAGAATGTGTAATGTGCTTCCTTATTCTTTAGTTCTATGCCTTAACTAACACAAACCACGTAAATTGTATGAGGTTTAACTTGCAAAAAAGAACTAAAAGAACCAGGTCAAGGAGGTGAAGTTCAATTGTGACGTTTCAGCCAGAGAAGAAGGAAAAAAACTGAGACACACATTGTGAGTGATGAAGACCTGGCTCAGCACACAGCCTTCCTGCCCTGCTCCTTTCCCTCCCTCTAAAAGCCCTTTGCACCCGAGTTCCCCAAGATGCAGCTTTGAGAATGGTGACCCCTCCATCCTCTCAGAATGCTGGCCCCTGAATAAAAGCAGTTTCTATGCCACCAACTCTCATCTCCAGAATATTGACTTTTAAGTGGTGAGTGGCCGGACCTGCGTTTGGTAATGATTAGGACAGCTAGATTTTGTAAAAGAGCTGTTGAAGATGCGCAACAATTAGAACTCTTCAATATAAAACAATACAGCCACTCTGGAAAATAGTTTGGTGTTTTCTTGTAAAGTTAAACGTGCACTTAGCATACAACCCAGCAATGTCACATATATCTGTATCTATTCAAGAGAAATAATAAACATATATAAACACAAAGACCTACACAGAATGTTTACATTAGCTTTATTGATAATCACCAGAAGTTAGGGCCAGCCCAACTTCAGCTGAAGAACAGATACCCAGATAGCATACCTATGTAGCGGGGTAGCACTCGGCAATAAAAGAACTATTGATTTCATGCTACAACACGAATAGCTCTTAAAAGAGTGTTATATGCTAACGGTAAAAAGCCAAGCACACAAAAAGCTGCATAATGGATTCCTTTTATAGAACATTCTGAAAAAGGCAAAGCTTTAGAGAGAGCAAGTGGATCAGCACATGCAGGGTTAAGGGATTAAGGTGCAAAGGAATCCCAGATAACTCTCTGGGATGGTGGAAATGTTCTAGATATTGTCAACCAAATGTAAAATTGACATAGTGAAGAACCAAAATAATTATATCTGTTTGGGACTAAATACAATCGTAATCAAGGAAAAGAGGATTAAAGCAGTCTTGAAAATGTGCTCTGAGGTTTTTAAAAAAATGGTGGCTATATTTATACTTAAAATTGCAAGGCAGTGGCTACATTATTTGCTTATCAGGAATTGTGACTGGTATCCAAGGGTATGTGGCTCCAAGGGGCCACCATCCCCTTGAGGAAAAACCGTGTGCTCAGGATACAGAGTTCAGTGCTGTACTGCAGATGCTTGGCTTATCTTTCCCAGAATGCTGCCTTACTTCTGCTAAGGACACGTGGCCTTTCAATGAATCTCAAATTTTTATTTTATTACTTCAATTAAACATAGTCCACTTCTACCTTGCAATTTGGACACCATTTGCTTTGGGGGAGGCAATATCTTCACAGACCACGCAATGATTAAAACACAGCTGAGGATAACGCGGGACTGACTGAGAGCTTCTCCACATTCACTGAGCTGAGTAATGCACGTGTGGGAATTGATTTTTTAGTTTTGACATTTGATTTTTTTTTTAATCGTGCTTGGTCAAAACCATATGCAATAAATCCATGAATAAAGTGGCCTTACTGTAGTACAGTCAGAGTTACACTGTTTTGTTACAAAGGGATTGAGTGTCGTCTTGATCGCTAGGTAATTTAGGGGAAAGGGGTACTTCACAAATGGTTCACAAGAGCTGGAGAACTGCAGTCAGACCAAGGTCAACATGCATCTGGGTCACACATGCGGGAAGCCCACTTTGAAGGTCCAGCTGCAGACATGTCTCTGACCTGATTTAACAACACCTCCCAAGTACACTTTAAGTACCCCAGATGAAGCCTCATTCATTTTTATTTTCTTCCTCGAAAATATCTCATGATAGAGGTTACATGCCTGTAAGTCATTTGTCAAAACTCACAGAACTGTAAATTTAAAAGTGTGAACTAATCTAAAAAGAATAAACTCATTACCTCCACAGTCCTGCCTTTAAAGTGGAGCATGGTGGCACAGACCTGTAATCCCAGCTACTTGGGAGGCTTGGGCAGCAGGATCACTTGAGCCCAGGAGTTCCAAGGCAGCCTGGGCAACATAGTGGGACTTTGTCTCAAAAAAATGAAAACTGCATCTCAAGAAACAACAAAACTGACTTTAATGATCTTTTAACAAAAGATAAGAAGGGAATTAGTTAACAATTTCCAGATTCTATTGTTCTAGGAGAAGGTCAAGGTTTTTTACTATTTATTTATGTATGTATGTATTTATTTATTTATTAAGGTGCTGGAGTGTGAACAAGTGCTCTACTGCTTGAGCCATGCCCCCCAGTCCTTTTGCTTTTAGTTTTTTGGATAGGGTCTCATGCTTTTTTCCAGGAGTCTTCAGACCACAATCCTCCTAACTCTGCCTCCCGAGTAGCTGGGATTACAAATGTGAACCACCACACCCATCCCCTAATTTTAATTTTAAGTCAAAGAAGCATGAAATATTTAAAGGTAATTAACGTACGACTAGAAATTGAATATATTACTTACAAAACTGTAAAGGGGAAAAGAAGAACAAAGAAAACAGCATTAACCTCGTAGGACGCAGGAAAGAAGAAAAAAAGCATTTAAGAAACTGTGCACTTGGGGGGCTGAGGTAGGACAACTGCAAGTTCGAGGCCAGCCTGGGCTACATAGCAAGATCCTGTCTCAAAAACACCAAAAAAAGAAAAAGTGATGTGATTTATAATTAGAAATATATATTTAGAAACATATATACAATTAGGAATATATATTTGGTCTTCACCCTCATTTCCTGGCACATAGCTCCTAAAATTCTAGGAAGAAATAAAGTGATTTTGGGGGAGACCAGTACTAGGGATTGAACTCAGGGCCTCACAATTACTAGGCAGGTGTTCTACCACCACTTGAGCCTTGCCACCAGCCCTTTTTGTTCTTTTTCTTTTGGGAAAGGGTCAAACTTTTTCCCTGACCCAGCCTAAGTTTCCCCAATAGCTGTGATGACAGGCACAGGCCACCATGCCCAGCTTTTATTGGTTGAGATTGGATCTCCCAAACTTTTTGTACAGTCTGACCTCAAGTTGTGAGCCTCCCAGCTCAGCCTCCTAGGACCTGGTGTTACAGGCTTGAGCCACAAGCTGGAGAACTGAGAGAGATGTGTCTTTTATATGATTATGAGAGGACTGATGGCTAGGTGGTCCTGGACAGCCTCACATGGGGGACGCTGGTGTCAGGGAAAACAATGTGATTAGAGGGTTGGGACTTTAAGCCCCACATTTTCTGTCTCCAAGAAGGGGAGAGGAACCCAAGGTTCAGTTGATCACCAATGGCCAGTGATGTAACCAATCATGCTACTTAATGAAGCTTCCATAAAACTGCAAGGACTGGGTTCCAAGAGCTTCCAGGTTGCTGAACACATGGAAGAGCCTGAAGGATGTGCAACTAGAGAGTTATGGAAGCTCTGCACCTCTTCCCACCTATCCCGCCCTCAGTATCTCTTCCTCTGGCTACCATTTCTATCTTTCAAAATATCCTTTGTAATAAATGGGTAAACATACCTAAAGTGTTTCTCTGAATCCTGTGAGTCTCTCACAAATTAATCCAACTCAAGAGAATTTCATCAAATTACCAATTTTTAGCCATTTGCTCAGACCCTGGAATTTGCGAGTAGCATCTGACATCTTGTGGGACTGAGACTTGAACCTATGCTCAGCAAACTGCATCAGAGCTAAACTGAATTATAGGATACTTAGCTATAGTATCCACTGCAGAATTGCTTTGAGTGTGGGAAAAACTCCACACACATTTTGGTCACAAAATTTTCTGTGTGATAACAGAAATGGCTATTTATTTTTCTATAACAAATAAGGATAAAGAGCATAAAATAAGATGGTATAAGTAAATAAAAACATACCAGTAATTAGAGTAAAATAGATGAAACTTGCCAATTAAACAGAATCTTGATTAGAGAGAATAAAAGGTTGAGGTTGAGTGGATCATAGGCTATAGACACATCTAAAACATAAATAAAGGTTCAAAGTGCCGGTGTGCACGCCTGTACTCCAGCTACTGAGGGCTACTGATGCTGAAGCAGGAGGATTAAGTTCAAGCCCAGCCTGGTCTACATAGTAAAGGAATAAGATGAAAGTTGGGGCTATGTGTGTAGTTCAGTGGGAGCACTTGACTAGCATGTGCAAGGTCCCAGATCTGACACCCAGCACTGAAACAACAAAAAGCCAATATTAACCAGAAGAAATTACACTAGAATTTTGAGATGGTATATTAATATTAGTATTATGAGATAACTACCCTAGTATCAGGAAAAAATCTGTCTCTGCACTCAGACCCCTTAGCCTTACCTAGGTATAAATGAGAGACTCTATAGATAACCTTCAATTTTCCTCTTTTAAAAGTTTTACCTGGAATTGATGCAACAAACCCAAAATTATGTTAAGATACTTTTTAATCGTTTACCAATTATTAAATGCATGCCTACTATTAAAGAAAAAAGCATGTAACACTTTATAAGTACAAATAATGTTATTTTATTTCATCCCTGAAAACAAAAATGAAAAGTTCACATCTAATCAGAGACCAAACAATTACTCCAAACTTCACCTGGCAATGGTATATAATTTCTTCACATAAACATACAGAGAAAACAGTTTGAAAGCTATCTTTCACAAAACAATATTTTCTCATACTTAGTTTAACAAAATATTATAATTATTGCTACTACTTGTGGTAGCATATTATAATAAAGAACAATATAATATCTAAAACTAAATTCAATATACTCTAAATCTAGAAGCTAGCTGCATGTAAGCAGTTCTTACATAGAATAAATACTATGAAATATAGGACATATAGCAATTAGATTTGCTACAACGGAAATTTAAATAAAGGTGTACTTTATACTAGAATTACCCAAGATTAAGATTTCTTGTGCTGTATACAGTAGCTCTTTTCCTGAAAAGATAGTCTATCTTCATAAATTATATTTGAAATGTTCTTGGATATTTTAAGTGGTCAACATATAAAAAGGGTATCTAATCCAAAGTTGCATAAAGCATGATACTCTTATATAACATAAAGTAACAGTAACATTTTCCAAGCAATTTTATGTAGCACAATTACCTTTATTATATACATCCGGCTAAAGTCCTCAAGAGTTCCCCTCCTCCCCCACCCACACAACAAAAGCAAAAATTACCAAAACAAGGAAATAATGTGCTTTCCTGATGGCATACACAAGGGGTCAAGCTTTTCCTGTTTTTGACAGGGTCTTCCTATATAGACCAGGCTGGCCTTGGACTTTCAATGCTCCTGCCTCAGCCTCCCAAGTAGCTGGGACTACAGGCACACGACAATGGGATTAAACTTTTAAATCAACATTCATGTATGTGAAAAATCATGAATACTTAAGTCATCTTTATTTCATCATAAAAATATCTTTTATTCTTCAGAATATATGTAAGAAATTTTTAAGTATGAGATTAGACATATTATTTTAATGTTGTTATTGAATTGCTACCAACATTTAGGATAGGTTATGGACAGTGACTGCTACCCATTTCAAGATTATACTCTTACAAATGTGATTTTAAAAAATATACAATTAACCTTCAGTTATTTTGAAGGATAGTGCAAATGAAGACATTCTTTGGGTCATGATTTCAAAATATTACTTTCATCATTCTCCTTCCTTTCTCTGCTTGTAATCTGAGTAACAAAATATACTAGTGGAAGGAAGCACACTTCTTAATAGCCTTAGTCAACAGTTACAACTACTGAGAACAAATGACAGGATGATTCAATAACAATATTCTCCACTGACCTAAAAACATGTTATATACTTAAATAATATTTTATGGAAATAAATCCATGTCTTTTAGTGTTTATGTTTCAACTTGATCTCAAACAGGAAAGATTTACACAAAGATCACCTACCTGTTTATTGTATCAACAGTGTTACCAAATTCCCTTTAAGGATAGAGTATAACTGAGACCTGTCTGAAAACATCTAGTATCATTTAAAATTTTATATACAGAATTTGTTCCATGAATCCAGCAAACTCCTTGAAAATGTGAACAGCTTTTTTGTAAAGTATTACTGTCCTAGCCAGCAATTAAAATAACTTCCTGTGACAGGAAACCTCCATAGTGGATGCAGCGGCCCAGGGCTCCCTCACTGCTATCTGACGCTGCCGGACGCATTGATCCTCTTATTTGCGGTTACTGACACCAAATTCCCACCAGTGCCATTGGTAGTGTTGGCCGCTGAGCCATTCACAACAATGTAGTCCACTTTGTTCTCCAGTTTTACCAGGCGCTGCAAAATGTCATCCAAGAGGACAGCAATTGTTCTTTTTAGATCCGCTAGGGGGCAAACCAAAATAAACAATATTTTTAAAAACTATATTTTAAAAACATATCAAAAAACCCACTTAATATATGTGTTTTTATGGTTTGAGGAAAAGAAGGTGAACAATTATCAGTTCATTTGAGAGAAAACATTTTAGAGAGAATGCACTCCTGCCACAAATAGGGAAAGCTTAATTATCTTAATCAGTAGCATCATGCCGGGCACGACATTGCATGCCTGTAATCCCAGCACTTGTGAGGCTAAGACAGGAGGATTCTGAGTTGGAGGACAGCCTGGGCTACACAGCAAGTTCCAGGACAGCCTGAGCTACATAAAAAGACCCTATCTCACCTCCCACAAAAAAAAAAAGAAAGAAAGAAACCACATACAGAGTCTCCAAAAGGAATGTCACATTTCTGAATGGAAGGGAAACTTTCCCTTTTCTAGTAAAATGGAACAGATTCAAATTCTGAAACAAAGTGTTAGTCTTTCTGAAAGGAGAATATTTACCTTGAGTTTCTTAAGCAGTTAGTAAAGAATACCATGGACTACACAGGTAAATTAAAAAGATAGCTGAGCTAAGTAAGAAAGTGAATGACAGACAGAAATAAGAAGCCTGAACCCTCCAGACTGAAGCAGGGTGGGGAGTCTAGGGTTCAGAGCCAACATCAGGAACCTAGTCAGGACAGCAGGCATGCTAGCAGTAGTTCTGCCTTAAATTTCTTCCAGAAGATCGATGGAGGAGATTATGACTCCTAACCTACTTGGAAGGTTAAGGGGTTTCATTAGAATTTGTCAGGCAAAAACAATATCATGATCATTGTTCTTCATAAAAGTTTCTTTCCTCAGAAGGATTGTGGTTAGAGGTCAGCTTGGGCAAAATTATTGAGACCCTATCTCAAAAATAGCTGGTCATGGTGACTCACACCTGCCTGTGGTCACAGCTACTTGGGAGGCATAGGTAAGAGGACTGCAGCCCAAGGCTGGCCCAGGCAAAAGCAGAAAGCCCTACCTGAAAAATAAACTAAAAGAAAGCAGGATGCTGGTGGCTCATGCCTATAATCCTGGGAGACTAAGATTGGAAGGATCTCGGTTCAAAGCTAGCCCAGGCAAATAGTTTGAGAGATACCAACTCCAAAATGACCAGAGCAATATGGACTGGACGTGTGCCTCAAGTGGTAGAGAGAAGGCTTTGCAAGTACAAAGCCCTGAGTTCAAACCCTAGTCCCACCAAAATAAATATATAAACAAGCAAACAAACTAAAAGCAAAAGAATTGGGGGTATGGCTCAAGTGGAAGAGTGCTTGCCTAGCAAGCACAAGGTCCTGATTTCAATCCCTAGTACTGCAAAGAAAAAGATGCCCAATACCACTACCATAAGGGGAACACAAATTGAAACCACAATGTGGTACCACTTGACACCTACTCCTACCAGAATGGCTAAAACCAAAGAAGTGAGGGAGGTGTTTTCAAGGATGTGAGGGAACTGAAAGGCTCATACACTACCAGTGGGACTATGAAATGGTGCAGCTACTCAGAAAGTGTAAATAGGAAGACTGCAGTCCAGGTCAGCCCAGGCAAAAATTTGAGACCCCATCTCAAAAAAAAAAAAAAAAAAAAAGGAATAGGACTACAAGCATGGCTCAGATGGTAGAGCACCTGCCTAACAAGCACAAGACCTAACTTCAAACCCTAGTACTAAGAAAAAAAAAAGCAAATACAGGTTGAAAATCCCTAATCTGAAAATCCAAAGCTTCTCTGAATACCACAATGATGCCACAGATGAAAATTCCACATCTGACTTCACGTGATAGGTCACTGTCAAATGTAAGCGTATTAAAAATATGGTATAAAATTACCTCAGGCTATCTGTGTAAGCTGTATAAGAAACATAAATTAATTTCATGTTTAGATATGGATCTCATGCCCAGATATATCATCACATATATTCAAAATGTTCCAAAATGTGAAAAAAAAAAACCCAAACTCTGAAATACTTCTGACCCAAGCATTTGGAGTAAGAGATAACCTGTATAGAAAAAAATGTTAGCAAATGGTGAATCTAGATGAAAGATATATGATGTATGCTGTATGATGTGTGCACATACGCCAGTCTGGAGTCTGAATGGAGTATGAGTAGGGTAAGCAAATGCTCTAGCACTGAGATATGTCCCCAGCCCCTACCATGTAAGTTTAAAACTTTTCTGTAGATTTGAAATTTTTCAAAATAAAAGACTGGGGGGAGGAGACATTTCTTTATTAATACCTTTCAATCAAGAGTTGTAGTAGGCCAGGTGCCGGTGGCTCATGCCTGTAATCCTAACTACTTAGGAGGCAGAGATCAGGAGATCTCTGAACTACTTGCCAGTCCGGGGAAATAGTCCAAGAGACCCTATCTTGAAAATACCCAATGCAAAAAAAGGGCTAGAGGTATGGCTGAAGTAGCAGAGTGCATGCCTAGCAAGCATGAGGCCCTGAGTTCAAACCCCAGTGCTCCAAGAGTTGTAGTAGTATCTGGTAAATAGGAGAAAATTGTGTGTCTTTTAAAATCCTTCCATAATAAGGCTAAAAGACAAATACTGGATCTGTTTTCCCTGATAGTCACCTTCTTTACAACGTCTGTAGAAGAAGCAACTTAGTCCTGAGAAGCCTAAATAGAAAACTGGGGCAGGGGCAGGGATTACCAGAACAGTATAACAGAATGAAGGTAAATCCCTAAGAGGTTTGACAGCAAGCTGAAGTGTGGCATGAAGAAGGTGTGGTGAAAACTAGAATGAATGAGAAGCAACTACATGATAAATTTACTTTAAAAATGTTGCTGGGGCTGGTGGAGTGGCTCAAGTGGTAAAGAGCCTGCCCAGCAAGCGTGAGGCCCTGAGTTCAAACCCCAGTATCATCAAAAAAAAAAAAGTTGAATTTTTTTAGTATTTTCTTAGTGAGTTTCTCATAAACTCAGGAAAAATACTGATCTATAGTTTTAATCTCTTATATTGTTTTTGCTTGATTTTGGCACAAGGGTAATATTAGCTTCATAAAATAAACTGGAAAGGTTCCCTCCTCTTATAAATTCTGGAAATGACTACTTAGTATTGTGTTGATTCTTCTTTAAATTTCTGTATCTGGGCCTGGATATTTTGTGAGTAAGGGAGATTTCAAATTACAAATTCAATTTTCCTAATAGTTATAGTACTGAATAAAATTCACAAAAAAGGGCTGGACACGGTGGCTCACGCCAGTAATCCCAGCTATTCAGGAGGTAGAGAATGGGAGAATTACAGTTTGAGGCCAGCTAAGGCAAAAAGTTACTGAAACCCCCCTCATCTCAACCAATAAGCTGGGTATGTTGGTGCACGCCTGTGATTCCAGCTATGCAGGAGGCCATAAGTAGAGGATCATGGTCTGAGGCCAGTCCTGGGCAAAAAAGGGGAGACTCTACCTAAAAAATAAGTAAAGCAAAAGAAGGCAGGTGGTGTGGCTCAAGTGGTAGAGAAGTGTCTAGCAAGTGCAAGAATCTGAGTTCAACCCAAAACTGCCCTATTCCCCCAAAAAACTCACAAAAAAGATTATCCATTAGCAGTGAGTAAGAAAAGAACATGTATAAAATTAAACAATATTAAATCATTTAAAAGACTGCAAAAACATGGAAATGTGCCCATAGTAATTAAGTGAAAAGTTAGAAAGCAGCAGACATGGTACAATGCCATAGTTTCAAGTAAGCAATGTGCTGGAATATGCATGTATACTGTATCTTACAGCTACCATACTGCACTATTGTAGGCTGGCTGCCTACCTTTCTAAATAAAGTTTGTGGAACACAGCCAACCTCACTTATCACAATAGACATAACAAAACCAACAAAGCAAACAGTTAAATAGTTTCTATTTATTATTTAGACATTTAAGAAGTATGTCAATCACTGATGGATCCAAAATAACTGATTTTCTCTCAGCTCTACTTATCTATGCTAGATGTTTCTATACATCTAAATACTCATAATAAACATAGAATATGTATATATAATTAGAAATATGTTTACACTTTTTCTGAGAATTATTTGAATATTACATGGCCATTAAGTAATGTAGAAATATCTGACAAAAAAAAAGCTCTGCTATATACTAAGTTTTAAAACACAGTTCTGAAGAGACGAATGTGGGGACTGCCTAGCTAAAGAGGGACAGCACTTGCTTAGCATGCGCAAGGTCCTGGGTTCAATCCCCAGAACTGAAACAAACAAATAAAAAGCATGTGGGTTGGGGATGCAGTTCAATGATAAAGCACATGCTGGCATGTATGAGGGGCCTGGATTCAATCCCCAGCATTGCCAAAACAGTGAATAAATGAAAATACCCATGCATAAATGGTCTCATTTTTGCTTTTAAAATCAAATTTATCTGGTTTCAATCCCCAGCACTGAAAAAAATAAGTAAATTCAAGCTTGTGTACACATCTACACAGAGAAAAAAGTACAGCAGGAAAAGGCAAAATGTCAACAGTGATTATAACATGGAATAACAATAAGAATTCAAGTGATTCTATTTCTACTTTATTTCTAACCCATCAAAAACTTTTTTTTTTTTTTTGCAGTACTGGGGCTTGAACTCAGAGCCTTCACCTTGCGCCACTCCACCAGCCCTTCTGTGATGGTATTTTTGAGACAGCATCTCACAAACTGTTTGCCTGGGCTGGCTTCAAACCATGATCCTTCTGATCTCTGCCTTCTGAGTAGCTAGGATTACTGGTATGATCACCAGCACCTGGCTAACTAGCAAATTTTTAATACAAAAAAATATATATATATTAGCTTATCAATTACAAAATACAGCTATTTTGTTATGACCTAAGTAAAACAAGTGTCTGTGAGAATTCTTTGTAAATGTGTACTATACACTTTTTCCTAAACCATGGTATAGTCAGCATAATTTAGTATTTTGTTGAGGAGCTAGTCGTAATATGATCATAATTTAATGAGTTCCAGATGGGTCTGAAGTTGTAGGGAGTGTAAGGAAAAGAAATAAAATGAGATAGATTTGAGCAGTGGTCCTGGAATTTTTTTTTTTTTTTACAGTACTAGAGTTTGAACTCAGGGGTTCACACTTGCTAGGCAGATGCTCTATCTATACCACTTGAACCACTCCACCAACTCTTTTTATTATGTTGAGTATTTGAGATAGGGTCTCGCTTTTTGCCAGGACTGTCCTCAAACTACGAGTCTCCTGATCTCTACTTCCTGAGTAGCTAGGATTACAGTGTGTGCCACCAGCACCCAGGGAAACTTTTTATTTTAGGTTCTGTTTGCTCTTTGGTAATTTTTTTCTTTCTCCATAAAGGTATCTATCAGATGCCTGACCAGTATATATATACAGCTGGGTAAGTGGAAGGAATTATCTTTCAACTATTTCTCTTGTTCTGTAAGAACCTGCTTCTTCATTGTTTCTATCAGTGTCCTTGGACCAAACAGAATGTGAAACAATGTAACTTCTGCATCTGTACCTGTGACAAGTATTTCTATCCCTTCATCTCTAGTCATCTAACTGTGATCCTTAAGAGCAAGTGCAGACCAACTCTCATCACTTCAAGAAAATCACCGCAAAAGGGAGAAGAAAAAATACAGCGTCCAGTGCATTCCCAGGCAAAGATGGTAAACTGAGCACAAGCATTTAACCTATGCTGACTCTGTATACCTCACCAAACACTAAAGTTGTTTTACTTTTTTAAGTATAAACCCATAAGCAAAAAAGACAACAAGAAAGGAGACAATAGCAAAAACTTCCCCCACTGCAGATCTCAGATTCATTTTCTGAAGCAGGTAAGGCAGTTGAAGGCCTGCGGACCACCCTGAGAATAGGTGGAGTAAATGGAGGCTTACACAGTGAGTGCTGAGACCAACCTTATCCTGCTTTTTTCTCTACTCAGATCCCACAAGGCTTCCAAGCCTATACTACCCCCAGCAAGAAATGAAGTGTTTCTCTGGGATATCTGACTAGCTCAAGAGTAAAGACCTAAATACACAGATATTAAAGATAATTCCAAAGAAATTTACTGATATGGTGACCTCCATCCCACCCCTATCTTCAGGGGATACATTTTGAAACCCTAGTGAAAGACTGAAACCTTGGATAGTACCAAAGCCTCAACATCATGTTTTCTCTTAAACATACACAAAATAAAGTATAATTTATACATTAGGGCTGGAGATTGAGCTGACCCATGTGGCAAATGATTCAATCAATCATGCACAAAGCCCTGGGTCTGATCCCCAGTACAGCCTCCCCCTTCCCCACCCACAAAAAAAGGCTCCAGTGGCAGAACTCTTGCCTAGCAAGCATGAGGCCCTGAGTTCAAACCCAGTGAAAAAGGAGGAGGGGGAGGGGGAGGAGGAGAAGGAGGAGACCTGCATGCAAGTACATCATTGAGAAATTTCAGGACAATATGGGCAAAGACCTAATAAGCTTCAAAAAAACAGAAAGAGCTGGGCACCGGTAACCCTCGCCTGTAATCCTAGCTACTCAGCAGGCAGAGATCAGGAGGATCGCAGTTTGAAGCCAGCCTGGGCAAATAGTTCCAGAGACCCTATCTCAAAATAACCCATCACAAAAAAAGGACTGGCAGAGTGGCTCAAGGTGAATGCCCTGAGTTCAAGCCCTAATACCGCAAAAAAGAAAAAAGAAAGGATGCAGAGTCACAATAGCATTAAGTTTTAATTAAAAAGGAAACTAGACAGAAAAAATAGAAAATTATTTCCAGCTAGGATTCTATGCCCAGCCAAACTTTCAATTAAGCATGAGAGTTGCAGGGAAAAGCCTCTCCAGATACACAAGAAACACAAAACTTTACCTCAATTGCGCCTTTCTCAGGAACCTACCAGATGTGTTCCCCTAAAATCCAATAAAAAAGCTACAAAACTCTAGGAAACAGGAGATCCAACACAAGAAAGAGGTAAGAGAAACCCCATGATGATGGCAGAGTAAGATCCTAGAATTCACAGCTGCAAGCCTAGAGGATAAACAATTCAGACCAGAGCCAATCAGAAAGCTCCAGGAAAGGGTTCCTCAAAATAATGAGTTGGATGAAGTGGCACATGCCTATAATCCCAACTACTTGGGAAGTGGAGATCAGGAGGTCTGTGGTTTGGGGCCAGCCTGGGCAAAAAGTTAGAGACCTCCATCTCAACAAACAAGCAAGGTATGATGGTGTGTGTGTCTGTGGTCCCAACTATGAGAAGGATTATGGTCCAAAGCTGGACCTGGGCAAAAAAAGTCCATGAAGCTGTGTGCCAGTGGCTCACGCCTGTAATCCTAACTACTTGGGAGGCAGAGATCAGGAGGATCACAGTTCAAGACCAACCTAGGCAAAAATTTCTCAAGACCCCAGAGCAAATTGGGCTGGAAGTGTGGCTCAAGCAATAAGAGTGCCTGCTTTGCAAGTTCAAAGCCCTGAGTTCAAACCCCAGTCTCACCAAAAAAAGAAAGTCCAAGACCCTACCTGAAAAATAACTAAAGCAAAAAAGGTCTGGAGGCGTGATAGAGCACCTGTCTAGAAAGTACAAGGCTCTGAGTTCAAACCCTAGCATCACCAAAAAAAAAAAAAAGTGATGAAATACCTAATGTGTCTAAATATACCAGAAGATATTTAAATAACTGTTGGCTGGGGGAATAGCTCAGTAGTAAAGCACTTGCCTAGCATATGCAAAGCCCTGAGTTCAATCCCCAGCACTACAAAATTAATTAATTAATTAGTGGAAAAATGGAGTAGAAAACCAGGCAAAGAAACAAGAACAGATACTTATTTGTACAGGAAAGAGAAAGTAATGTACTACGTGGCTCAGTAATGAATCTTATTAACACAGTTATAATGGTGCAAACACTGAATATCATCTTAACCAAAATTATGAAGGGAAAAATAGCAAGGCAAGGACATGTGCCTGCAAAGGCAACATTTGGATTGGGCAGAATGCATTTGTGGATGAAAAAGAAAGCTAAATCCTTACCCTCCATAGGAGAAAGTTAACAGAAGAGGCCTATAACTGAGAAATCACTGACTATGTTATTTTAATATAAAGGCAATCACCAAAAAACTGAGATGAAAGAATTTAAAATGATGGTTCAGAGAACAGGAAATAAGAGGCTATTGGTAGTAGAAAGAATTGCTCTTTTCATTGCAAAAAGTTGACACTTTTGATTCTTTAAATATATGCATATATAACTTATAATGTAAAAAATCCTGGACTAGAGAAAATGTCCACATACTCATGTGTACACAGAGGGTTCCAGACAGAACCATTCTGCTCCTTCTCACTCTACCTCCCCTCATCTTACAGGGAAGACAGAACACGACAGGCATAAGGCATTTGCAACAGAGGAGCCCAGTGTGTGAAAGAGAGCAGGGCAATAACACAATGCTGGGGATATAGGCAAATGCTGCTTCTCGGGAATTAACGGACACTATATTAATAATATGTATTATTAATGATTTGCATTGGGAAATCAGGAAAACTTAAATATACTAGGTATTAATAATGCATTGTGTTACATAGTAAAGGGCATTTTGAAATACGCACATATATATTTCTCATACATACATACTTTTAAAAAGATATAAATATAGTAGTGAAATGTCACAATTTCTATAATACACTTCAAATATACTTCAACAATTAGATAAAACAAATGAAAAATGTTAATACCTGCTAAATCTAGGTGATGAATATAGGTATCATATTTCTAATTTTCAATAGAAATTTGAAAATATTTATAATACAAAATCAAGAAAAAGATATCTCTACATGAAGTGATGAGTTGATCTCCATGACTTTCTATAAATGGAACAGACTGAAGAGACTAAAGTACTCTGTGTTATCTTACCATATCCTGCCATAGAAGCACCGTTCTCCACATCTACCATGTTCTTATTTTCCTCTGCTAGAGCTTTAACGTATCTTTTACTTAACTCCAGTATTTGTTCCCGTAACTTAACACTGCTTTGATGTCTTGGCTGTTGAAAAGTATAGTGCAGCAACATCAGTCCCCAAATGAGTCCGAATACAAGCAGCAGTAAACTCAATTTCTGGGACATATTCTTTCTTGAGATTGCAAAGAACATTTCTGATGAAGCAAACAGGCTTGACTGAAAAGCAAAGACATGAACGGAAAAAGGAAAAAATGTCTCTACTATATGTTCTTCATTTTCAGCAAGGTTGCATCCAGTCTTATATGAAGTCTGAAAAATTAAGGAAAAAAGGCAATCAGTCTTACCCCACATTGGTAACAAAATAAACAATAATAAAGAAACTATCCTACAATTTCAGGGAGAGGTTTGCTTTTTTTGTTTTGTTTTGTTTTTTTGTCTTTTCTTTTTTGGTGCTGGGATCGAACCCAGGGCCTCATGCATGTGAGGCAAGCGCTGTACCACCGAGCTACATCCCAGCCCTATCCTACAATTTCAATTTGGAAACACACCACCTTCCTTGACAACTTCTCCACCACTAAGTAAGCTTTCTAATCTTTTTATCAGTTTCATTTACATATCATTTTGAAATTTAAAGTACAACAGATGTCAATTCATTGCAAATGAAAAACGATTCCTTCATCATCACATTTGTAACTAATGTGTAACTTCATTTATAACTAAAACCATGAACACAAAATAAGATTTATAGGAGATCTCAGTCTGTTCAAATACATGTCACCAACCTAAGTACACAAAAGCTATTCCTAAAACATACAAAAAAATAAACAAAATCAAGTGATTACCAAAATAAAAGTTAGAAATAAGGAAACGTAAAACACTGGAAAATCAAAATGCCTATCTAACAAGAATTCCATAATATAAATAAAGTGTGTCAACATAGTTTGGAGGACAGTAGTGGAGTTTTGAACTCATAGCCTCTTGCTCATTAGGTAGACACTCTACCACTTGGATCACAACTCCAGCACCTCTTTTGCTTTAGTTATTTTTTGGATAGGGTCTTAACACTTTTTGCCCAAGCCAGCATCAGACTGTGATCCTTGTACCTACATCTTCCATTTAGCTGGGATCACAGATGTACCACCATGCCTGGCTTGTTTTGTAACATAGTATCTTGCTAACTTTTTGCCTGGGCTGGTCTCTAACAGCCACCCTTCCAATTTCTACCTCGTAGGTAGTAGCTGGTATTACAGGTAGGAACCACTACAACCAGCCCTAGGGCAACAACATCTGAAAATGTCACAAGAAAGTATTACTAATGGAAATGAGGTAATCCTGGGAAGCATCATCCTAAATGAAAAATAGGTTATAATTTCTAAGTTTCTATCTTATAAAAGTATGCTACATGTAATGACTAGTGATCTTTTAATGACAGGTGATAAAACAGGTTAAAATTTTTTCTATATTTCCAAATTTACAATTCCACATTTTAAATAAGGAAAGTATATATTTGTATAATTTAAAGAAAAATTAGATTATACTTCAACTCTTTTTTGTGCAGTGTTAGGACTTAAACCCAGGTCCTTATGAATGCTAAGCAAGTGTTCTATCTTGAGCTACATCCCAAGCACTGAACCTTAATTCTGTAAAAAAGAGAAAGGTTATAATAATCTTGAAATCTATAAATACTTGGAGAGTAAGAATAATGTATATTAATCACCAAAGTGTCCAGTGAAGACTCTTAGACTACATCAAATGGAGCAGGATACCTTTCGGCAGAGATATGCCCGAGGGCAAAATAGTATACTGCACAAGAATATTTCACAGCTACTAAATATAATCTTTAAGAATTTTTTAACTTCCTATCATATAAGCAAATATAACATCTCAACTTTAATCCTTGTATTAGAAAATAATTACATAACTGAATAAAACCTAGGTTGAGGGAAAGACGAAAAATGAACACATATAAAGGTAACATGTCTAAAGGTAAAGAAAACCTTACAGAGCATTTAATCATTTCGCTCAGCAAACATTTACTGAGCCAGCAATAAGCTAGGCATTAGGGATTCTATAGTCCCACCCTAAAACTTGCTTTCTACCACCAATGCTTTCAGATCATTTTTTTTATTTACTTACTAATTTTGTCCAGGGTCTCAAGTGAGATCTCTACCACTGAGTTATGCTCCCAACCCTCAAACCTTTTTTAAAAATAAGGAAGTATTTTTTAAGTCTTATACAAAACATCAAAATACAAAAAAAAAAAAAAAAAACCCACACAATCAAAGCCTCTCTGTTAGATGTGTGTGTTAAAGATGTGTAAGAGGGGGAAGTTTCTGTCCTGCTTGGAAAACTCCCACTCTGCCATCTGATCACTCCACACCGTCTGATACACCTCTAACAGATTATGGAGCTCCAGGGTTTGAACTACAGCCATCTGACCTTGTGGAAGTATTCCTATCCTGCCAAACTCACTACAAGAATAACTATCTCTCCTAGAGTATATTAATTCCTACAGTGAAATAATAACATGTAAAAATTAAAAATTAACTGCTTTTCAAATTTTCTTCTAATTCTACACATTTCTTTAGTTACCCTTTAGATCTTATAAAAACAATACTATTAATAAATACTACATTACTAAACCTTGCTTTATTAGCTCAATCAGGTAAACATAATCTAACATTTTTATAAGGCTATTACATTCTATTTGAATTCAGAAAGTAGAATTACAGGTTTCTGAGGAGGGGGAAGAGGCAGAAGGGAAGGGGAAGAAAAAGGGGAAACTGAATGTCTCTTCTTTCTGTGCACTGTTCAAAGTTGCAAATGACAGCGGAACTTGCACTTTGAACCACTCCCATTTTTCTTTGTTTCAAGTACTGGCTCAGCTAGGTCAAGATGATGAGCCCCTAGGTCACTAGCTAGAAACCTGTGGCTAAGGAAGAGTCACTAGCTGGAAGCCTGAGAGCCCAACACTGTCATTAAGGATTTATGACTACCACCTAGGATACTCTACAGAGGTCCTTCCTCCATCAAAATGATCTACAATCTAAAAACTTTGTAATCTTAACTACTAGGCCACTATATTAATTGTCTACTAATGACTTTTTTTAAAAAGCCTCAAATTCACCCCAAGTACCAACCAAATGGACAGTTTTTATGGCAAAATAAAATCATCATCACTTTAATCGTCATCATTTTCACCTAAGACAAACTCCTGAAGATATGTAGGGCTCTCAGGTGAAAGTTCTCAACCAACTGAAGAAATTACAAAAGGAACTAAAGTCCACAAAGCACAAGGGTAGAAGAACTAGAATAGACTCATAAAATGAAGTGTTGGTAAAGTCCTCACAGACTTGGCAAAAAGTAACAGTGTGGCCCAAATATCACCACCTCCAGCTGATTCTTACAGAGGCTTTTCTCAAGTCATTTCCTGGATTTCTCTCCAACCTCACTTCAACCCATTCTCTCAGAGCAGTCAAAATGTCCTTTTAAAAATAAAATTGGAACTTGAGTAGACATTTTGCCAATGAAAAAATGTTCAACATCACTAATCATTAGGGAAATGCAAATTAAAACCACTATGAAATACCACTTCACTTCGAAACCAGTAGATGGCCATTATCAAAAAACAAAACAAATAACAACAACAACAAAAAAGCACACACCACCATAGCATGCTTGCCTAGCATGCATAAGGTCATAAGGCCCTGGGTTTGATCTCTATCATTGCCACCGCCAAAAAAGGCAATAAAAAATGTTGTTGGAAGGAAGTGAAGAAATTAAAATTCTTGTGCACTTCCAGTGGGAATGCACAATGGTGTAGTGTAGCAGATCCTCAAAAGCTTAGCATTAAGGATGAGGGTATGGCTCAGTGCAGAGTGGGTAATTAGCATGCACAAGGCCCTGGGTTCCATCTTTGGTACTAAACAAACAAACAAACTCTTACTCACAGCATTTCCCTATGAGCCAGAATCCCATCTGTGGGGATATACACCAAGGAACTGGGGATCAGGGACTAAAAGGGTACTTGCATATCAATGCTCATGCAGCATTATTCACAAGAGCCAAAGGGTGGAAACAACCTGAGTGTCCATCAACAGATGAATAAAAATGTATATATTCCACACAATGGAGTATTATTCAACCATAAAAAAGAATGTGCTCTGATCTATGCTACTACATGGATGAACCTTGAAAAGATTATGCAAAGTGTTAATCCAGACATAAAAGGACAAATATTTCATGATTCCATTCACATAGAACATCTAGTATACAGCAAGAAAGTAGAATGATAGTCAGCAGAGACTGGGGGAACAGGAAAAGGGACAATGATTTAATGGGTACAGTATCAATTTGGGATGATGGAAATGCTCTGTTGGTGGATGGTGGTAATGGTTTCGTAACAATGTGGATTACTTTAATGTCACTGAACCACATACTTAAAAAATGGCTCAAATGGTAAATTTTATGTTCTGTATTTTACCCACACACACATATACAAGCATATCGTACCATTCCCCTGTTTAAAAACCCTTCAGCAGTTCCCCACTGCACTTAGAATGACATTTAGCATGGTACACAGGCTCTCCCATGATCTGACTCCTACCCATCGCTGTCCCACTCTGGTACCACATCCCTCTTGCTCACTGCATTGCAGCCAAGCAGACAAAACACAGTAAATTCTCTCTGACCTCAGGCTCTCTACAACTGCTCTCCCCAGCTAGAATGCAATTCCTGTGGCTTGCTCCCTTTCATGCTCCAGTAAGCTGCTTAGCTCAAATGCAGCTCTGCAGAAAGTCGCCTTCTCATTTCTATCCCACCTCTAGCCTCCAAGTTCTCTCTTCTCATTTTCCATGAGAAATTACATAGCCTACCCTTAACATTTTTTTATTATTTATTTTTTATTTATTTTCTGGGGACTGAACCCAGGACCTCACACAGGCTAGGCAAGCACTTCTACCACTGAGCTATGCCACAGGCCCTTTAAAATCTTGAGCACATTGTTTTATCTCCCTAAGTGCTGACGTCCTCACATATAATGAGCACAACAGTACCTACTTAATATTGGTGGAGATTAAATGATTCCTCATACTACTCAACACATATGAACAGGCTTATGCAACAATGCTTCTAGTTCTTGATAATCTGAGTAACTTGAGCCAATACTGAAGTTTTAACAGACCCAAATACAACTCTTCTGATTAGCTCTCATAGGTTAGGTTTTCTCAGAATTTGTGGACAACTTGAAATATCTCAGGTATTAACTCATTGAAGAATTACCCAGGCCTGAAAGATGACACAACAGCACA